AGTCCAAAAATAAATTTTTTGAATGTTGTGATGTAATTTCATTTATTTGATTTCACATACAATGGTAAAAAATGATTGTGACCTCCTTGTACAAAAAACAAATGGTCTCATAGTATACAATCCCTAAATTTTATATATATGATTAGAATATGTTTACTATAATAAATTATTACAAATTTTACTTATATGATTATGAGATATTTATAATATTTAATTAGGATTCTAATTATTTTGGTAATTTATTTCAATTATATATTTGCTATAATTAATTGCATCTATATCTATCATGATTTTTTAACATTATAACAATTACTATTATTATTAATTATTATAATAAAGTAGTTAATTTAAACAATTATAAATACATTATAATGTAAAAAAATAGAATAGGTTTATGAAGTTTATATAAGTATCACTATAATATTAGAATGGATTAGTAATATTGAGTTAAAATTTAAGTAGTGAAAAATTTAAAAAATAACGAGCCATTTAAGAGAGAAAGAGATAGAGATAATTTGTTAGGGGAAAGAGACGGGGCATAAGACATTGAATGAATAATAATTTATGAATAGAGAAATGTATAAAAATATGTTTGCTATCAAAGAAAACCATGGATTTTTTTTTTCTAGTTTCATATGTAAGAATATTGAATGAATAATATGCAACTATGATAATATAAATCTCTTCTTGAAATAGGATGTACAAAGTTTTGAAGGTATTATTTGAGGTAGATAACTTGATATGTCATTCATTCAATATTTTTGTTAAATATTAAATAGCATGCATTTAATATATTTGTTAGTTATGAATAACAAATAAATTTACAAAATCCTTAGATGTTTAGAAATATGCATAAATATTACTAAGGTATAATATAATATGTTATCGTTAACATATTTGACACAAATAGCAAAACCAATATTAGTGAACACAGTCATCAAATATTATTTAGTTGGGTTCGGTTGAGAGATGATTAATTGTAGGATTTTTTTTGCCCATTACCTGTAGAAAGCAGTGACCATAGATGTTTGCTTGTTAATAATTAGATAACTTTTAAAACATATATCTCTCTCAAAATGATGACTAATGCACATCTCCATGACCAACTAAAATATCTATCTCCAAGTTTATGGATGCAGATTAACAACTAACACATCCCCCTCTCTCTTTATCTATCTCTCTCTCTCTAAGATTATGTATGTTGCATAGTCAATACCAACAACGTTTATGGTCGTTGTCAAATGTAACAATTATATCTGGAAAATATTACAAGAAACAGAAAGTGCAAAAAACAGGAAATATGAAAAACAATAAAATAAAATAAAATAAAATAACAAACATTCCATTTTTGTAAGGTTTTTCCTTTTTGTCCAATTTTATGAATCTAAGCAGGAAAATAAAAATAGAAAGCTAAAAACAAAAAGAAATGTATAGAAGACAACACAAAAATCGAATAAAACTTTCCTGCCTTGACACCAATATTATGATTGGTACACCAATAATCATCTGGTTTCTATGTGGCCATGCCCGCATATGTAGAAATGCGGGCTTATTAATAAATCTATTTTTGAAATGGATTTTTTTACTTAATTTTTAAGGACATGTAATCTCTAACAAGGAGATCATGCACATGAAAAAATAAGTAAATTTTGAAAACTATAAATAATAATTATACTAAAAAAACATTTGGACCATTAATTTCTATTGTTTTTAGATGGAACACTTATTTGCATCCATCTTTAAGATTGATACTTTGCACTTTTTAGATCGCATATGTAGTCATGTGGTCCAGCCGGCATGAAACAATTTTTCTTTGGTTAGAGAGAGAAAATACTGGGGAGAGTAATGTATGGAGATAAAGAGGATGAGTGAGAGTAGAGAATGTACGTAGCAAAGGTAGAAAAAGAATGAAGGAATAGTAGGTAGAAAGAGTAAATGTGAGGGTAGAGAGAGAGCGAGAGTAGAGATAATAAGGAAGAGTAGGAAGACCATGACATATGCTTTTTGAATAGTTTGTTACAGTTAGTAGAGTGGGTTCCACGACTGCTCGAAAGGGGTGGTTTTACAACAATTGCCTATGATATTTTATGACATTTTTATGAGATATGAGGGAATAGAGAAGTAGAAGAGTGAAAAAATACATAATGAGAGTAGGTGTTGGAAGAATGAGAGATTTTAAGAAGGTGAGATTCATGACACATGCTTTTTCCAAAATTTAGAAATTTGAAGGAACATGATTACCAAAAAGAGGGTAGAGATAGATAAGAATGCGATCTTTATGGAGAAAGAAGCAACCTATATGTGAAATGGTGTTTGTGAAAGGGAAGATAT